TAGCAGTTTGCTTCTTGATACACTTTGCTATGGTTCCTATTTTAAGGGGCCCAAATTACAGTTAGGTGTTTCCGTTACTAGAAGTCCAAACACCACAACAACATTTTACAAAATTTTCTATTCTTTTTTCCACAAGGGGATTGTGGCTTGGAATCTAGCACATGTGTGTGTATGTGTGTATGTACAGTTGTGTTCAAAAAATAATAGCAGTCAGACATCACTAACCTGATCAATCACTGTTTTTGGTAGAAAGGATATTTCTACATGGCAAATAATTTACTAGCAGGTGTAGTAGAGTAATAGAAATCCAACAGACCCAACAGTCATGACATGCATGGTGCTGATTCTGTGTAATTGAATCACTAATTGAAAGGGGCATGTTCAAAATAATAGCAGTGTGGAGTTCTATTAGTGAGGTCATTCATTCTTTGAAAAACAGGTGGCAATTATTGCCTTTATTTAAGGAAGGAAGGCAGCAATGTTGTACATGCTGGTTACAGTGCATTTTTCTCTGAAATTCTGAGGAAAATGGGTTGTTCCAGACATTGTTCAGAAGAACAGTGTACTTTGATTAAAAAGTTGATTGGAGAGGGGAAAACATATAAAGAAGTGCAGAAAATGATAGGCTGCTCAGCTAAAATGATCGCAAATGCTTTAAAATGGCAACCAAAACCTGTAAGACGTGGAAGAAATCGAAAAAACTACCATTCGAATGGATAGAAGAATAGCCAAAATGGCAAAGACTCAGCCAACAATCAGCTCCAGGAAGATCAAAGAAGGTCTAAAGTTACCTGTGAGTACTGTTACAATTAGAAGACCCCTATGTGAAGCCAAGCTATCTGCAAGAAGCCCCCCGCAAAGTCCCACTGTTGAGAAATAGACATGTGCTGAAGAGGTTACAATTTGCCAAAGAGCACATTGACTGGCCTAAAGAGAAATGGCGCAACATTTTGTGGACTGATGAAAGTAAGATTGTTCTTTTTGGGTCTAGTGGCCGGAGACAGTTTGTCAGACGACCCCCAAACACTGAATTCAAGCCACAGTACACTGTGAAGACAGTGAAGCATGGTTGTGCAAGCATCATGATATGGGGATGTTTCTCATACTACGGTGTTGGGCCTATTTATCGCATACCAGGGATCATGGATCAGTTTGAATGCATCAGAATACTTGAAGAGGTCATGCTGCCTTATGCTGAGGAGGAAATGCCCTTGAAATGGGTGTTCCAACAAGACAACGACCCCAAACACACCAGTAAACATGCAACATCTTGGTTCCAGACCAACAAGATTGATGTTATGGAGTGGCCAGCCCAATCCCCGGATCTTAATCCAATAGAAAACTTGTAGGGTGACATCAAAAATGCAGTTTCTGAGGCAAAACCAAGAAATAGAGAAGAACTGTGGAATGTAGTCCAATCATCCTGGGCTGGAATACCTGTTCACAGGTGCCAGAAGTTGGGTGACTCCATGCAACATAGATGTACAGCAGTTCTCAGAAACAGTGCTTATACAACGAAATATTAATTAAGTGATTCAAAGGAAAGCAAAATCTTCAAACATTTTTCAGTTTATATAGTGAATGTTTGAGTTTGTAAAGAAGAATACAAACACTGCTATTTTTTTGAACAGTCTAATATTCACTTTTCTTACATTTTTTTAGAGGAACAACACAAATTTGATATATTTTTCTTCATGTTTTGATTTGGAATAGAATGTGTAGTGTTCCCAATGCATTTGTTTGTATGGAAATAAAAGCTATTAGAACAGTGGTTCTTAACCTGGGTTCGATCAAACCCCAGGGGTTCGGTGAGTCAGTCTCGCGGGTTCGGCGGAGGTGAAGACCCACACCCGACTCATATGATTCGTGATGACATGCCCCGCTTGTCCATCATTAGCTGCAGGTGGTCACGCAACATCGCTTAGCCCAGTGGTCGGCAAGCCGCGGCTCGCGAGCCACATGCGGCTCTTTACACGCTTTAATGCGGCTCTTTGTGTGCCGGGCGCCCGCTCCCCTCCCTCCTCTCGGGCGGCAGGGACTCTGCAGCGTGATCCAAAAAAAAAAACAGCCAGGGCAGCGCGCTCAAATGCAATGATTGGCCAGTCTCGCTGCCACTCACATCCTGATAGCCAGTGATTGGCTGTCAGGATGTGTGTAGGCGGGGCAGCGTGACGAACGTGAGAGGAGCTAGGCTCCTCTCACAGTCCGCCCTGAAGACCGGAACGGCGCGGGGGAATACGGCGAGAGGAACGCGCGGAGCAAAGGTAAGTGAATTGACACAGGGGGGACTTGGCTTACCACTTGCTACTTACTTACTACTACTATATAAGGGATGAATTAATATGGGGGATGAATTACTATAGGGGGGATGAATTACTATATGGGGGATGAATTACTATGGGGGATGAATTACTATGGGGGATGAATTACTATATGGGGGATGAATTACTATATGGGGGATGTATTACTATGGGGGATGAATTACTATATGGGGGATGAATTACTATGGGGGATGAATTACTATATGGGGGATGAATTACTATATGGGGATGTATTACTATGGGGGATGAATTACTATATGGGGGATGAATTACTATGGGGGATGAATTACTATGGGGGATGAATTACTATATGGGGGATGAATTACTATGGGGGATGAATTACTATATGGGGGATGTATTACTATGGGGGATGAATTACTATATGGGGGATGAATTACTATGGGGGATGAATTACTATGGGGGATGAATTACTATATGGGGGATGAATTACTATAGGGGGGATGAATTACTATGGGGGATGAATTACTATATGGGGGATGAATTACTATGGGGGATGAATTACTATATGGGGGATGAATTACTATGGGGGATGAATTACTATATGGGGGATGAATTACTATAGGGGGGATGAATTACTATGGGGGATGAATTACTATATGGGGGATGAATTACTATATGGGGGATGAATTACTATGGGGGATGAATTACTATGGGGGATGAATTACTATATGGGGGATGAATTACTATATGGGGGATGTATTACTATGGGGGATGAATTACTATATGGGGGATGAATTACTATATGGGGGATGAATTACTATATGGGGATGTATTACTATGGGGGATGAATTACTATATGGGGGATGAATTACTATGGGGGATGAATTACTATATGGGGGATGTATTACTATATGGGGGATGTATTACTATGGGGGATGAATTACTATATGGGGGATGAATTACTATATGGGGGATGAATTACTATATGGGGATGTATTACTATGGGGGATGAATTACTATATGGGGGATGAATTACTATGGGGGATGAATTACTATGGGGGATGAATTACTATATGGGGGATGAATTACTATGGGGGATGAATTACTATATGGGGGATGTATTACTATGGGGGATGAATTACTATATGGGGGATGAATTACTATGGGGGATGAATTACTATGGGGGATGAATTACTATATGGGGGATGAATTACTATAGGGGGGATGAATTACTATGGGGGATGAATTACTATATGGGGGATGAATTACTATGGGGGATGAATTACTATATGGGGGATGAATTACTATATGGGGGATGAATTACTATATGGGGGATGAATTACTATAGGGGGGATGAATTACTATGGGGGATGAATTACTATATGGGGGATGAATTACTATATGGGGGATGAATTACTATGGGGATGAATTACTATAAAACAGTGGTTCTTAACCTGGGTTCGATCGAACCCCAGGGGTTCAGTGAGTCAGTCTCACGGGTTCGGCAGAGGTGAAGACCCACACCCGACTCATATGATTTGTGCAGTAAATATTCATTATTATGTTTTTGTTTTTGTGTGAAAATCATGTTTTAATGGTTTTGTTCTTAACGGTTTTGTTCATTTTGTGCACCTATGTATAAATATATACCTATGTTTTGAATTTTAAAAATCATATTTTATTTTTCCAATTAAGAAGGGTTCGGTGAATGCGCATATGAAACTGGTGGGGTTCAGTACCTCCAACAAGGTTAAGAACCACTGTATTAGAAGGATTTTGAGCTTTATTCACTTTTTTCAACACACTGCTATTATTTTGAACACAACTGTATAAATATATATATATACACAATTATTATTATTATACAGTATTTATATGGCGGCAACAGTTTGCTCAGCGCTTTACAACATAACAGGAGACAATACAGCAACAATACAGTCCAATACAAGAGGGTTAGGAGGGCCCTGCTCCTTGGAGCTTACAATCTAAGATCTGTATGTATATATATATATATATATATATATATATATATAGGGTGTGTGTGTGTGTATATATAAAATATATATTTTTTTAAATGAAAGTATTATGTAAAGCCTAAAGGTTATTTTTTTTTGCTTTGGACAGAAGACGGAAAAGTAAAAACTTGCAATTTGTTCACTGTCTGGGTCTCATTAAAGCGGATTTCCACCCAAAAGGGGAAGTTCTGCTTTAATGCTTTGTCCCCCGCTCCCCATTAAGGATTGGCACATTTGGGGACCAGGTACCCAAATTTGACAGGTACCCTCTCCCACATCTGCTGCCATTGTGAAGAGCTTGGAATCTGATTGTTTGATTGCTCCTGTGGACAGGTGTCTTTTATACAGGTAACAAAATGAGATTAGCAGCACTCCCTTTAGGAGACTGCTTCTAATCTCAGTTTGTTGCCTGTATGAAAGACACCTGGTAGCCAGAAATCCTGCTGAATGATAGGGGATCAAATAATGTTGCTATTCTGTCTCTGTGTTACAATAAACCTACGATTTGATTTTTAGACTGATCATTTCTTTGTGAGTGGGCAAACATTCAAAATCAGCAGGGGATCAAATACTTATTTCCTTCACTGTATCTTAAAATGTTACTTTCCTTTTGATCTAAATGTACATTTTGATTAAGAATGCTGGCCCTTCAAAAGCCTCCTTAGTAAAATATAAGTATTAAGTCAAATGTTTGTATTTTCAGATAATGAAGCTGCGTCGGTTGAGGGAGCCTCACAAGGAAGTAAGTATAACTAAACTTTTATACTTATATATAACCTCTCTTTAGTTCCAGGGAGCCAGATGGTCTAATATGGGTGCAAATCTAGCAAACGTGTTGTAACCTCTAGTAGTCTACTACATGTCCGTTCTCATTACATTGTTACAACTATGGAGATCTATGCTCATTTCTGACTGCTTTCTTTAAAGCCAAATTTCAACCAAGACTTTTTGCTGTTTAAGCCGGCCACAGATGGAGCAATTTTCTTTCCTGCAATCATAGGTTGCAGGAAAGAAAATCGCTGGATTCTGACACTGTGTTTTTGAGGGATTCTCTCCCACAGAGCCTTTGTGGCCTTGCCGGGAGAACACAGTGATTACTGCTAGCGGCTATAATAGCAAAAATTACATGTAAAATCCAACAGGCTGGTTGTACCCAAGCTGATCGATCGATCAACTTGGGTACATGCAGCCTGCCCATACATGGTTTGAATCTCAGCTGGTCCCTGCTGAAGCGGCTGAGATTCAAACTATCTATGGCTTGGCAAGAAAAGATAAGCCTCCAATGGTGTAGTACCGTTAATTATTTATTAAAAATGTCAAGTTGATTCCCTTTGACACCATCAGTGTTTTACTGTTTCATGTGCTTATTTGAGGATGTCTATAAGTACAGGCATACCTTGGTTTATGAATGCCTCGGTTAACGTAATTTTCGTTTTATGAATGAAAATCCATTGAAAATAATGGCTCGGTTTACAAATTTTTTTTTGCAATACGAACAGATTAATTGGTTTTCAATTAATTTACAAATTTTTTTTTAATCATGTCCCTGTACAGTACTATGCCTTTAAAGTGCACTTTATAAAGAGTTTTGAACAGATAAGACTTTTTCTTATACTTTTTTCTGACCTCCGGAACGGATTAATTGGTTTTTAATGCATTTACAAATTTTTTTTGACCATGTCCCTTACGCAATACGAAAAGTCCCGCACAACAAATTAAATTCGTAAACCGAGGTACACCTGTAGTTTTCTGATATTTAATAAATCTTTAATGGTACTACACCATTGGAAGCTTATCTTTTCTTGCTGAGCAGGAGCGTGAGATCACAGTCGAGTTTCTATCTGGTGCCGCTTTTGTTCCTGTGTTGGATGATCCATGGTGCAAGACTCATGTTAGACCTCCTATTATCTGGGGTCTGACAATTTGGTTAGTGGCTGTGTGTGTTTCAGGTGGTGGGCTCACTAGTTACAATTCACTGGGACTAATGAAGGATTTGATGGACACTATGGTATTTAAATGTATTATTTATTCACTTTGACACTTGATGTGAACCTTTTTGTTCATTTATTGGTATTCACATAGCACTTGTGATGGACATTAGTATATTGTGAATATCTATGCACATTATTTAACTCACTTTTTTATATTCTAGATTGATTTACTATTTACACATCACAACTGTATTGGGATTCATATATTTTGCATATGTATTTTGTGCTTCTGAGAGTAAGATTGGTCTTTTTTTTTTTTTTTCTTTTTTTCTTTTTTGTGAAGCACCGAGCACAGTTTTTTCTTCTTTAATATGACTGGTATATGAATGTCTATTCAGGGAGCTCTGGCAGGAAGTAGGACTGTGTCTATGGGGGTTGTATAGACTTACGCGCCGCCTGAAACATTGGATACAAGTAAAATAATAAACAAATTAAGGTATTCCCCGAGGCATAATTGTGCTCTGTTATTACATATTAAGAGTGAAGATTCCTATTATTACAAATGCCTATTGGTGACCAGTTCTCTTCATTATTTTGCATTACCATGTGTTATCCACAAAATGTTTGTTTTATCGAAGATCAGGATCAGAACTTGCTAGATCAACAATCTAGCACACAGTTTTATGTTACCAAAGGGCACATTTATTAAGCAGTGAATCTGACATTGGCCAAACAATCACCGCAGGTGAATCTCTGCTGCCTGCTTTTAAATGCCAGTGGTTTACCAAGCAGTAAATGTTTGGTGAAAGTCATACTCACTGCATTATAAATATGCCCCTAAGTGTTAGAAAATATAATCAGCATATTAACCTCTAAAGTGACCCTGTTTGATTTTAATATTCCAATAGTTTTTATTGAATAATTTTTCAGGTAACAAGTAATACAAATGAACAATGTCTTGTCAAAATATGTAAATTATAGATCACCACAAGTAACAAAGATTGTCACAGATTAGTTGTCATTTGAATATTCAAATAAAATATAAATAGATAGGTGCTACATTTGCCCAAACATTAGACTTCATATAGTGCAATAAGTACAAGATTAGTACCACCTGAGGGTTATCTCAATTTTAGTCCATTCAAAAAAGTTTAGCCTACAGCACCTGGTATTCCCAGGCAGGCTCCCATCCAGTTACTATCCAGGTCTGACTCCAAGATCAGGTGCATTCAGGGTGATGTGGCCATGGGTGGTTGAGTGTGCTTAGACCAAAAAGATATTGTAACCCCCTCCGTATAGCAATATTTTAGTTGTCATTTGAGGCAGGACAAATGTTGCAACACAAATAGGGATTGGGCATAATCCACCCAAGCAAACAGAAGAGAGAATAAAATGGAATAGAGAAAAGAGAATGAAGAAAGCGAAGGAGAGGGTCAAGATGAGGGACATTAAGACACAGATATATATGGAATCCACAGGTGCCATGTTTTTAAAAAAAATGTTAGTGTTATTGTGTGGAATACAGGTCAGCTTGTTGTTAATCATAATCTAATTAAATGTATTCTTAATATAGTCAAGTGGGATAACCGATTGCTTCCAATGTCTAGCTATAGTAATTCTCGCTGCCAACAGCATATAGGTGATCAATTTACCGGACTTCCTGGGAACATATCTGGAAATTTATGAAAAAAGGGACATCTCCGGTGATCTGTGAATATTTACCCCGTCATTGAATTGATAAAATTAAACATGCAAATCCAAAATCTGGTTGCTATCGGACATTGCCACCAGATGTGATACAAAGAACCCACCTGGCCACAACGCCGGAAACGTATCGCAGAAGCAGATGGATGCATCCTCGCAGTCTGAGTAGAGACCAATTACCATCTCATCCCCATCTCAACACCATCTCAACAATGTTTTATAGTTTGCTTCAATTAGGGTAGTATTGATGGAAATTTTAGATAGTGTCTGGGAAATATCTTGCCAATCCGATCGTTCATAATTGGCATTCAGATCCCGTTCCCATTGAACTATATAGGGAATGTTACAGCTCGGGTCAGTGAGGAGAGCATACACTGCGGAGACACGGCCTCTGGGGAAATCGTTATTCTGACAGGAAAGTTCAAAAGTTGGTGAGTAAGGGTGGTTCATACAATAGAGTAAGCTTTGAGCGGATAAAAGAGACAGTCTGATTGAATCTGAAGATTTGGGTCGCGGGCACTTGTAGCTTATCTTTAAAATGCTGTAGCGAGTGTATTTGAGCACCATTAAGGTAGTTTCCTATCCGCAACAGTCCTTTATTTATCCACCATTGAAAAGGGATAGGTACTAAGCCAAGTACAAATTCAAGGTTACAAAAAACCAACGCTAAGGGTGTGTGTGGGGATGATGATGGCTAATGATTTGCGGTGGCATACGGTGTCCCAGACGACCCTGTATGATTTTATTCAAGTGCAAGCCAAAATTTTAGACAGTGGGTTGGATTCAATAACGCTGCCGCACCACTTTTCTGGCATTAATCTTTCTTGTTAATGTGTTGCCCCAAATTCAGGAAGCATTTGCAACACTTTTGGTTCTGACAGTGACTCATGCACCAAGTTCTTAAATGCGCCACTTATACATTGTGTTACATTAAATGCATCAAATGTAAAAATGGAGCCAATTAAGACCCACTCTTATTTGTCGAGAGAAGAACTGACTCAGACAGATTTCTAAAGTGTCTCACGTGCCTCGTAAAAGTGGTGCAGTTTGAGCCAAACTCAAGTACAAGCTCAAGACAGGTACATGAATTTGCACATTCCCCACTTTTAGAATGCATGAGAGACACTTTTGCTAAATCTGCCTGCTTCAGTCTTTATAAATTCTAAGGAGTATGTCTTCTAAAAAATTTAGACACCCCCTGTCAAATGACAAATTGAGAGGGGAAAAAAAAAACTTTAACCACGTTATCTTTTGATGCATGCAAAAAAAGATCGAAGCCCAGTCAATGGTGATAGCGCGCCACTGGAGGGATTCTTTCAAGGCAAATCTTTCATAATGCCACCTCCCCCTCTCTCCCCCTCTCTGTTGGAGTCCCCCAAGGCTCTGTCCTCGGACCCCTCCTCTTCTCCATCTATACCTCCTACCTTGTCAAACTAATACACTCCCATGGCTTCAATTATCACCTCTATGCCGACGCCACACAAATCTACCTCTCCACCCCCCACCTCACCCCCCTCACTCTCCGCCCGCATCGCCCACCTCCTGAACGACATATCAGACTGGATGTCACTCCATTTCCTCAAGTTAAACATGTCCAAAACCGAGCTCCTGGTTTTCCCCCCAGCCCGCGCCCCCCCCATCCTCTCCATCACTACTAGCAACGCCACCATCATTCCCACTCCACACGCCAAAGTCCTGGGTGTCACCCTGGACTCAAACCTTTCCTTCCAACCTCATGTCCAATCACTATCAAAGTCATGCAGGCTCCACCTCCGCAACATCTCCAAGATACGTACGTTCCTCACCCCAGACACTACTAAACAACTCGTACACTCCCTCATCATCTCACGCCTGAACTACTGCAACTCCCTTCTCACTGGCCTACCCAAACAAACGCTATCCCCACTCCAGTCTATCCTGAACTCAGCGGCGAGACTCATCCACCTCACCAACCGCTCCACATCTGCCACCCCCCTCTGCCTATCCCTTCACTGGCTCCCGATTGCCCAGCGCATCAAATTCAAATGACTAACTCTGACCTACAAAGCCATTCACAACGCCGTCCCAAACTAACTAACTGACCTGATACCCAAATACCACCCTACCC